ATGACCTGGTTGCTTGGGAAGCCACTCTCCGGGCCGGGGATGCCTCCACCCGCGGTCTGTACCATGTTGGGAAGTGGAGCGTCTACCCCGGCCGGGAGACCGACCCCGAACCGGAGATTGTTCTGCCCGGGGTGATCCCCGAAGCCATCCCCATCCGTCAGGCGAGGGGATCCAAAGCCCCGGCCACTACCAATGCCGGTCCTTCATGCCCGGCGAAGAAGAAGAAGGAGGAAGGTCAATCAACCGCCCTTCTAATTTTTCATTTGAATTAATTTGTTCTCAACTGCATTCTTCAAACCGGTTCCCTTTTTTTTTGTTTCAGTCGTGAAATTTCAATCCAAGTTTGCCGTCCCCCAAATCGTGGTTGAGGAGCCCTCCTCCGCTCAGCCACTCACTCCTCCATCCAGCCAGCCACTCTTGATGGATGATCTGCCGGCCAGTCTCACCAAGGGACCAGCCAGCCGATTCACTCGGGGGAGATCTACTTCAACGTAGACACCTTCGAGTTCGACAATCTGATGGGTGAGACTGGGCATACGTCCCAGGCGGGGGTGGGAGACCGGCCGAATGAGAAAGGGGAAGCCAAGGAAGAGACTTCTGGGGGGTCCCTTCAACGGAAGAAGCGGAAGACTGAGGAAGTCAACCAGCCTTCCCATCAGGGGGCCCAGTCCTCCGACGCCGGCAAGGGGCCGATGGTGCCTCGTTCTCTTGCTTTAATGTCCAGGTCAAACGAGGAGCTCTTCCGAGCATTCCGTGCTGATCTGAATGAGGCAACCCCTTTTCCTCTCCTACCGCCTACTTATCGTTTTTATACTTTTCTGAGTAATTTTCGATGTCTTTGAAGCAGGTCGGCCGGATCGGGGAGGAGTACTTCGCCCAGCTGGTGAAGTCGATGGATGAGGAGAAGGCCTGGATGGAGGCCATGATGGTCGAATGCCGGAAGGAAGCCCAGGCTGCCCGGGCCAATGCAGAGAAGATAGAGGCCAAATGGACAGAGCACTGTGCGGTTTACCGCCAGCTCTATGCCAAGCACGACGGCCTCCTCAAGGCTGCGAAAGAGGCCGATGAGCAGGCCCAGGCCAAGATCAATCAGCTGGAGGCCGAAAATGCCCGGTCAGCCGAGGAAATCGCTCGGCTGGAAGATGAGCTGCAGAAAGAGCAATCTGAGCGTGCCGCCCTTGCTGCTGCCTGGGCTACTGAAACGCCTGAGGAGTTTGCTGCTAAGGCGTTGCCTGACCGGGAGACTGCCATCCGCTTCTTCCAAGGCTTGTACAAGTACGAGGTCTCGGCCGGGATCGTCGACGAAATCGGAACGTACGGCTTTGAAAGCGGCGAGTACTCGGAGCGGAAGGCCCTCTATGGCATCCTTCAGCAGAGGATCCAAAGTTTTCAGCCAAAGGCTCTTTCTCTGCCCGAGCTGCACTCTGAGGCGCCTGAACCTCCCTTCCCGGGCATCTGATCCGTCCGGCCTTCCTTCCTCATCTGATTTTCTCTTTTTTTTTATGATGTAATGGTCTGCCTCCAGGCACTTTTGTATTTCATTGAAATATTAATGAAAATATTCTTTAAGTTATGTGCTGAGTGTCCCGTTTTTTTTATTTCTTTTCATCTTGAATTCTTTAACAGTTTAGATTAATAAATAACAGCCCGGCTGTATTTACCCGGCTTAGAATACAATTTTACCCAAGTCTTTTCGAAAGACTAGATAGTGAGCCGGGAAGACTTTAAGGCTGACCTGTTTCCACAATGGCTTAACACCCCGTGTGGATAGGCAAACCTTGAGTTTTCCTTCAAAACGTCCGGCTTAACTGGCCGGGATGCTCTCCCACTAGTAAAGCCAAATCGTTTTTAACTCCCGTGTCAGTACGGATGAGGTGTTAAATCGGACAGACCGGTCTTTTTTTTTTTTGAGATGCCCAATTCGATTGGACGTCTAACCGGGTAGATTGGTACGCGACGAATTACCCGTTAATATATGAGAACAATCTTTTCGAAAAGAGCGAACTTTTATTAATGGCCAGGAACCCGTTACACTTTATCTATAAAATTTACGTAAGTGGTGAGAGTTCGACCCGGCTACCTTCCATAGTCTCCAACTGGTAAGTGCCCGGTCTGACTATTGCTTTCACACGATAGGGCCCTTCCTAGTTACGCGCCAGCTTGCCCCTCTCATTAGGCTTACTAGCATCCCTCCTGCGCAAGACTTCATCATGCACCTGGAAGTATCGCGGTCCTACCCGGTTGTCATGATACCGCTTTACCGACTGCTGATAACCGGCCATCTTAACAGCTGCTATGGTCCTTCGCTCTTCCACCAGATTCAACTCAGCTAGGTGGTCGACCTCGTTCTGGCCGGGTTGATACATGGTTTCTCTAAATGTTGGAATTTCCGCTTCAACGGGCAACCGGGCTTCACATCCGTAAGTGAGCACAAATGGAGTTTCTCCGGTTGCCCTTCTTGAAGTCACCCTATGCGCCCAGACCGTGTGAGGCAAAGCTTCCAACCATTTATGGCCTTCTTCACCCAACCTCTTCTTTAGGTCGTCCACTATCGTCCGGTTAGCATTTTCAACTTGGCCATTTCCCTGTGGATAAGCTACTGAGGCCTTGCTATGCTTGATTCCAAAACTAGCCAAGTACTCAGTGAACCGGGGGTTACGAAACTGCGGACCATTGTCGGTAACAATCATCTTCGAGGCACCAAACCGGGTGATAATATTTTTCCAAACAAATTTCTCACACTACCGCACGGTTATGGTAGCCATTGCCTCGGCCTCGACCCATTTAGTGAAGTAATCAATAGCCACCATCACGAACTTCTTCCCGCCTTGGGCGACCGGGAAGGCTCCAATAATGTCAATCCCAAACCGGGCAAATGGTATGACATTAGACATTGGTTGGTAGTATGTGGCCGGTCTGCCGGGATGTTTGTAAAATACCTGGCACGTCCTACATCTCTGGACATACCGCTCACAATCCCCCACAATGGTCGGCCAGTAGTAGCCAAGCAATATTATCCTTTGAGCCAGAGTGCGAGACATTTGATGGGCCGCACAAACTCCCTCATGCACCTCAGCTATTACCTGTTCAGCCTCTGGGTTGGTAAGGCAACGTAAGAGAGGTCCACCGATGGCACGTTTGTACAAGTGACCATCGATTACCTGAAAACGGGGAGCCCGCAAGACCACCTTCCTGGCCCGTTCCTCGTCATCCGGTTTCTGACCGGTCTCCAAATATTGCATGAGATCGTGCCTCCAGTCATCATCTGCTCCGATTGTCCCGGTAGCCGAATTCTGGCCCGGTTGGATAGCCGCGATTTCAAACCGGTCTGTACTCGGCACGTCCATGATCTCAATTTTCGCCAACTTCGACACATGCTCCGGGCAGGCTTGTGTCAATTTTGAAAGCATATCTGCATCAGCGTTTTCCGACCGGGGTATCCTAGTCAGACGAAACTCTTCTAATTCCCTTAGAAGCGCTCGGACCAGATCACTATACCGGGCCAGCCGATCCTCTTTTACTTCCATCTCACCATTGACCTGTCCAACCACTAGACTCGAATCGGAACGGATCTTCATCCTTTTTATTCCGAGTGTCCGGGCTAATCTGAGGCCACCGGCCAACGCCTCATACTC